CCCGGGCCAGCCTGGCCCCGCCGAGGGCGCAGCTCCAGCCGGGGGAGCGGCCGGGCCCGGGGTCCCCAGGGAGGGGCCTGGCCTGGGGAGCTGGTCACCCAAGACCAGGCTGCTCTTCCCCGACCCCTGTGTGCCCGCAGCCCCCGCCAGCTCCAGCCGCCGCCTTTCGCTCCCAGGGGTGGCCCCCCTCTCTGCCTGCAGGAGGCCGCCATGGGCTTCTCCTCTGAGCTGTGCAGCGCCCAGGGCCACGGGGCCGTGCAGCTGATGCAGGACAGCGAGCTGCGCTTTCTGGAGGGCATGAGGAAGTGGATGGCCCAGAGGGTGAAGAGCGACCGGGAGTACGCGGGGCTGCTGCAGCACCTGTGCCTGCAGGATGGCGGCGGCCAGGGCCGGGGCGGCGCCCCCGCCAGCCCCATCGGCCAGGTGGGGTTCCCCGAGGCGCCCCTGCCCGCCCCATCCTCTCAGAGCCCCCTGGGGTGGGCTCGGGGCCATTGTCTGTCTCCCTCTGCCTGCTTCCCCCTCCGGCGCGGGGCCACAGTCCTGGGCCGAGATCACGAGCCAGACGGAGAGCCTGAGCCGGCTGCTGAGGCAGCATGCCGAGGACCTGAACGCAGGGCCCCTGAGCAAGCTGAGCCTGCTGATCCGCGAGCGGCAGCAGCTGCGCAGGGCCTACAGCGAGCAGTGGCAGCAGCTGCAGCAAGCACTGACCAAGGTGAGGGCCGGCCGGCCACGACGCAGGCCTGCCGCAGGGGGACTGTGCGCTGGGGCTTCTGCATCCGAGGGGGAAGTGGAAGTCCCTGACCGCAGGCCTGGCCTCCAGAGCGGCCGGTCCAGTCCCGCTCCGGCTTCCTCCCTTCCTCCCCCACTTGGGCGCCGGCCGGGCCTGTCCCTGCATTGTCTGTGCCTGGGCCCAGTGCAGGATGGGTGAGGCCTGCCAGGCCTAGGAGGCGCGCCCTCCCTCCCAGCCCTGCTTCTGTGAGGGGAACCGAGGCCCGGCCCGAGTCTTTGGTCTTGGGCCCCTGGACGGTGTGAATCCCACAGCTCCTCCTAGCCTAGGCTGCGTGATTACCTTGCTGCTGTCTTTCTCAGGAGCTTCAGCCCTCCTGGGTCACAGAGCTCCTAGCAGGTTTAGTGCCACACCCCTTCCACCAGGGCCAGCCTGGCTCACGTGGACCACAGCGACCCCTGGTGGCCCACTTGGCCTTGTTACTCACCTATTTCCCCAAAATATTGTCTAGTTCGAGGATCTGCCCTTTTTCCTTGTCATTGTTGTTCTTTCCCCCTCCCAACCCTCCTCCTCCCCCCCCCTGCCCCCACCAGTCCTAGCGCTCGAACTCAAGGCCTGGTGCTATCTCTGAGCCTCTTTGTGTTTGAGGTTAGCACTCAACTACAGCACTACTTGTTTTTTTCTGAGGAGTTTATTGGAGATGAGAGTCTTCAAGGGCTTTCCTAAACCCCAGGCTGACTTCCAACCGCAATTCTCAGATCTCAGCCTCCTGAGTAGCTAGGATTGCAGGCGTGAGCCACTTGTGCTCGGCTTTGGATTTTTATTAGCATGTTTGTTGCCCCAGGATTTTCGTTGTGTAACAATGTGTTCCCACCACACTCCTTCCCCCATTCCTCCTCCTTCCCCTTCTTAAAACAAATTCAGCAGGTGCCGTTATTGTTTTCTTACATGCAAATAAACTACTTAACCTTATTCACCTGCATTCACCCTCCTCCTTCCCCTCCCACCCATCCCAGCTCCTGAATAGAGCCTGCTTTACTTTCTTGCCATTCATCCGTTCATTCATTCATGCGTGTGCATGTGTGTGTTCATTGCATGGTTTCACCATGCCTTTCTGCCTCCCCAAAGGACCTGTCCATCATCACACAGTGACTCTGACCCTATCCTTAGCCGCCAGCTTCCTCAGAAGTCTCTAGACTCTTCCAGAAGGATGGGCTTGGATGTGCTGCCTACCTTGATGGCAGCACATTTCCAGGGTCCCGTCTTGAGAGGCAGTCTTCTGCTGGGGACCTGCCTCTCACCACCCTGCCCGCTCCCCAGACCCACAGCCAGGACATCGAGAAGCTGAAAAACCAGTACCGATCCCTGGCGCGGGACAGTGCCCAGGCCAAGCGCAAGTACCAGGAGGCAAGCAAAGGTCTGTGGCTCCCCCTGCTGGCGGTGTGGGGCGTCCTGGCCCAGAGCCCACCTGCCCACAGGTACCCATCCACACTGCACCCCGCCCACCCCAGCAGACAAGGACCGGGACAAGGCCAAGGACAAGTACGTGCGCTGCTTGTGGAAGCTGTTTGCCCACCACAATCGCTACGTGCTGGGGGTTCGGGCTGCGCAGCTGCACCACCAGCACCACCACCAGCTCATGCTGCCCGGCCTCCTGCAGTCGCTGCAGGACTTGCATGAGGAGATGGCCCGCGTCCTGTAAGCCTGCAGCGCCCCCCCCCCAGCCCTTGGACAGCGTCCCCCCCCCCATCGGGCCCTTGGACCGCGTTGCCCCCCCCCCCGCCCACGCCAGTCCTGGGAAAGCACTGACATAGGTCGTGACAATGGGTCCCACACCCAGGACTGAACCAACTGGAGCCAAGGCATCTTCCCAGCCATAGCACTGAGAGCACAGAAAGTGAGCTTGTGGAGGGAGGAAAGAAAGTAAAGAGGAAAGAGAGCGGGCACGTGTGCCTGTCATCCTAGCTACTGGGGAGGCTGAGATCTGAGGATCGCAGTTCAAAGCCAGCCTGGGCAGGGAAGTCCATGAGACTCTTCTTGTTGTTGGTCATGGGGCTTGAACTCTGCGCCTGGGCGCTGTCCCTCAGCTCTTCAGCTCAAGGCGAGCGCTCTACTACTGGACCCACAGTGCCACTTCCGGTTTTCTGGTGTTTTTTTTGAAGATAAGGGTCTCAGTTAATCACCAAGAAAGCTGGAAGTAGCAGAGCACTAGCCTTGTGCAACAAAAGCTTAGGGACAGTGTCCAGGCACCATGAGAGGGGGGGTGATAATAGGAGAGACAATGTCAGGGCAAAGGACCGGGAGCCCTGAAGCACGGGGAAGGGGGTTCCTGCAGTGCGGTGGGTTCTGGAACGCCTCTCAAGGTCATAGCGGGGCTAGGGCAGGTTCGCCAACTCAGGAAGTAGAAATGATTTGCGGCTGCCGGCTTGGGAGAGGAGGTGCGGCAGCCTTGCCAATCCTGGGCCTTGGGTAAGCCGCCTGCCTTGCCCGCCTGGGGCTCCTGACCGGCCCCCCCTGTGCGGCAGGAAGGAGATCGTGCAGGAGTATCTGGAGATCAGCAGTCTGGTGCAGGACGAGGTGGTGGCCATCCATCAGGAGATGGCCGCGGCCGCCGCCCGCATCCAGCCGGAGGCTGAGTACCAAGGCTTCCTGCGGCAGCACGGGTAAGCGGGCGCTGCCACCTGGTTTTGCAGCTGGGTGCCAGGCTTCTGGCCTCGTCCTGACCACCGCCATGTCCACCCTGCCCACAGCTCGGCCCCGGAAGTCCCCCCCTGCGTCACGTTTGACGAGTCGTTGCTGGAGGAGGGTGAGCCGCTGGAGCCCGGGGAGCTGCAGCTGAACGAGCTGACAGTGGAGAGCGTGCAGCACACGTGCGTGTGGTGTCCAGGGGACCGAGGGGGGCAGGGCAGGGCGGGGTGGGCGGAACGCTGCCTCTGTCCAGCCACAGGTTGGCCCACGTGATGGTCCAGCTCTCAAGCTGGCCTTCCTGGTGCAGGCTGACCTCGGTGGCTGAGGACCTGGCCGTGGCCACCGAGACGGTGCTGGGCCGGCGGGATGCAGTCAGCAGGCTGCGGCGGGAGCTCCAGGATGAGGAGCAGAGCACGCACCCCCGCGAGCGGTGAGCACCCCTGCGTCTGCCCCTCCACTACAGAGTCCCTGATTCTACGCACCCCTGCATGAGTGTGTGTGTGTGTGTGTGTTGGTCCTGGACTTGAACTGCAACTCCAGTTCCAACTTTTTGCTGGCTAACTGAATAGAGTCTGACGGGCTCTCCAACGCGGGCTGGCTTGGAGCTGCGATCCTCAGATCTCAGCCTCCTGGGTTGCTGGGATGACAGGCGTGCCCCCCCCCCCCGCGCCCGCTCCAGGCACTGCCTCTGCCTGCAGGGTGCAGCTGCTGGGCAAGAAGCAGGCGCTGGGGGAGGCCCTGCAGGCCCTGCAGGTGGCGCTGTGCAACCAGGCCAAGCTGCAGGCCCAGCGAGACCTGCTGCAGAGCAAGCTGGACCAGCTGGGCTCGGGCGAGGCCCCCGCCGTGCTGGTCCTGCAGGAGGACCGCCAGTCCACCTCGTCCTCGGTGAGCCCCGCCCCGCCCCGCCTGCCCCCTGCCCGGCCGCATGCTGGGGGGGGAAGAGGGAGGGGGAGGTGGGCGCCCCTCACTGTCACCCTCCCCCTCCCCAAGCCCAACCTCCTGCTGACATGTGTCCCTGGCCCCAGGAGCAGGAGCGGGAAGGGGGGCGGACGCCCACGCTCGAGCTCCTTAAGAGCCACTTCTCTGGAATCTTCCGCCCCAAGTTCTCGGTGAGTGGTGCTGGAGAGGCGCGGGGGCCGAGGGTCCCAGACGGAGCCCCACGCCCCCACCCCAATGCTCTGGGCGTCCAGTCCCGACCCCACCCCACGTCCCCTTCCTCTTGTCTGCTGCCAGGAGCAGCTGCCCCGGTGTCCACGTGGCTCTTTGCGCTCTGGGGATGGTTGGGGTCTGTGGCGGGGAAGAGAAGGCACCAGCCCAGGCATCTGCCTCCTCAGGCTCTGCCCCCTGCTCTGCTGTGGGCTGGGGGTCAGGGCCAGAGGGTTTAGAGCAGGCCCTGTGACCCCGCCCCGCCTCCAGCTCCCGCCCCCAGTGCAGCTGGTCCCTGAGGTACAGAAGCCGCTGCAGGAGCAGCTGTGGTACCACGGGGCCCTGCCTCGGGCAGAGGTGGCCGAGCTGCTGGTGCAGTCCGGGGACTTCCTGGTGCGGGAGAGCCAGGGCAAGCAGGAGTTCGTGCTGTCCGTGCTGTGGGATGGCCTGCCCCGCCACTTCATCATCCAGTGCTCTGATGTGAGTGGGCCTCCCCCCCCCCCCCCCCCCCCCCCCCCCCTCCCCTCCCCTCTGAGCCACCTCGACGGCTCTCTCTCTGCCACCACCCATCCCGGCTGGACGGGGCCCGTGGGTGGTGCCCCTCCTTCCCCCCGCCCCCACTGCCGTGGGCAGCCATGGAGGCCGCTGACCCTGCCCCGCGCCCCGCAGGGCCTGTACCGGCTGGAAGGGGACGGCTTTCCCAGCATCCCCCTGCTCGTCGACCACCTGCTGTGCTCGCAGCAGCCCCTCACCAAGAAGAGCGGCGTGGTGCTGTCCCGGGCGGTGCCCAAGGTGAGCTGCAGCAGGCCCCTGCGCAGCGCCCCCTCCCCGCCAGCACCAAAAAAGCGAGTGCCACTCAGCGGGAGGCCAGCCTCCTCCTGGAAGGCCAGGCGCCCCCCCTGTGGGCCGTCTGTCAGACCCGCACCCCCAGCCTCGGGGTGGGGGGCTGCTCAGCGCCTTCTTCTGGGCTGACGTCTGCCCCTCCCCCTCTCCCCCAGGACAAGTGGGTGCTGAACCATGAGGACCTGGTGCTGGGCGAGCAGATCGGGCGGGTGAGTGTGCACCCCTCCATGCCCCTCTGCCCGCCCCACACCCAGCCCCACCGCCACACACCCTTCAGCCTCTGCTTCAGGCTGGTTTCAGACCCTGACTCTCTGGACAGGAAATGGAGGAGGGTCCCCACCCCCAAAACAGCCAGCACTCCACCTCCTGCCCCTTCAGAGTCTGGCGTACGGGGGATGAATGAGCACCAAACCTGTTTAGGAAGGCACTTGCACATACACGGCAGAATGATCCAGGGCACTGACTTTCCCTCCGTTCACCACTAGGGGGCAATCTCCCGAGAGCCCCCAGGGCCCAAGGCTGGCGCTGGGGCGGGTGGCCCCAGCACTGGCGGGACGCCACGCTGTTTCAGGGGAACTTTGGCGAAGTGTTCAGTGGACGTCTGCGTGCGGACAACACGCTGGTGGCGGTGAAGTCCTGCCGGGAGACGCTTCCGCCCGACCTGAAGGCCAAGTTCCTGCAGGAAGCCAGGTGAGCGGCCACGCGCCCCGGGTCCCTCTGCCCCGTCCCCTGCCTCTACTCCGTGGCCTCCTGCCCTCTGTCCCGGGGCTCCTGGGTGGCAGGCGGGGGGGGGGGCAGGGGCGGCCACGCCAAACCTAAGCAGCGGCACCCCCAGGATCCTGAAGCAGTACAGCCACCCCAACATCGTGCGTCTTGTCGGCGTCTGCACACAGAAGCAGCCCATTTACATCGTTATGGAGCTGGTGCAGGGTGAGGGGCGCCCGAGCTGGTGCAGGGTGAGGGGCGCCCCGGGCTGGGACCCAGAGCTCGTGCTCAGGGCCATCACCTGCAGGTGGCGACTTCCTGACCTTCCTGCGGACGGAGGGTGCCCGGCTGCGCGTGAAGGCCCTGCTGCAAATGGCCGGGGACGCGGCGGCTGGCATGGAGTACCTGGAGAGCAAGTGCTGCATCCACCGGTGAGCGCGCTGCGGGCAGGCCCACGTGTGCACACGCATCATGCATGCACATGCTCACATGGCCCCCCACAGGCAGGGGGCCATTAACGTGTGTGTATGCACATGTGCACACATCAGTATTCACACACACACACACACACACACAGAGGAGCTGTCCACACCCGCTCTCCCCCGCTCTCCTTCTCCCCCCAGCCCTTATCCAGGCAGACCAGGACAGCCAGGGCTGGAAGCAGCTCTGGTTCTCGGCTGTGTGGAGGGCATGGCCTTGGCTGAAGGCCCTGCCTCCTCCCCCAGGGACCTGGCTGCTCGGAACTGTCTGGTGACTGAGAAGAACGTTCTGAAGATCAGCGACTTTGGCATGTCCCGCGAGGAGGCGGACGGCATCTATGCCGCCTCGGGGGGCCTCAGACAAGTCCCCGTGAAGTGGACCGCACCCGAGGCCCTTAACTATGGTAGCTGGCCCCAGCCACACTGGGCCCGCGTGTGGGCAGCCCCCGGGCCCACAGCCCCTCACCCCCCCTCCCTGGCCCCCCTGCAGGCCGCTACTCCTCCGAGAGCGACGTGTGGAGCTTCGGCATCTTGCTGTGGGAGACGTTCAGCCTGGGCGCCTCCCCGTACCCCAACCTCAGCAACCAGGAAACGCGGGAGTTTGTGGAGAAGGGTAAGGCCAGCCCCTCTGGGTTCTGGATATTTAACTAGCAACCCTCCCCTGGGGCAGCCGCAGCCCGCTGGCCCTCCACCCGTGCCGGGCCACACGGGGCGTCCCCTCCCCCTCCACACAGGCAAGGGAGTCACACGCCCTGCAGCTGGGAAAATGGGGAGCAGAGGCCCACGTGTGGAAGCAGCACGCCTCTGTCCTGGGGTTCACGGTGGGCAAGAGGCCCCGCTTCTCATGCCGGCGCGCCGTGCCCACCCCCAGGGGGCCGCCTGCGCTGCCCGGAGCTGTGTCCCGACGCCGTGTTCAGGCTCATGGAGCAGTGCTGGGCGTACGAGCCGGGGCAGCGGCCTGGCTTCAGCGCCATCTACCAGGAGCTGCAGTGCATCCGCAGGAGGCACCGCTGAGACTGGCCCCGCATCCAGCCTGGGCCTCCGCAGAGACAATAAAACCCTGTGTGCCCATCTGTGTGTTGGCATGTGCACTCCTCTGGAGGGAAGGTTCCAGAAAGCAGGAAGGGCCTACACAGCGGCCAGTGGTCCTAGGAAAGGGGAGGACAGGACAGGTAGAGCAGCTTTCCACTGAGGCCGGGCAGAGCCCGAGAGCTCAGGCTGTGGCCAGGCGGTGGCGACATTTCCTAGAACTGCCAGGATGGTGGGTTCGAGGCCTGGGCA